TTGAGCAAATACGCTTTGATTTTTATATTGTTATATGTTTAGTAAATATCGTAAGCTGCTGTATATTTATAGTGCTTGTTCTGCTAATAGTTTTGCAACAGCTGTTTCCTAATGAGGAAAAATATGAGCAAAATAAATTACCTCTTTGGAAAACGTTGAATTGCTGTTGACTAGAATAACCAAAAACTAATTTTATAAACATAACACAAACAGCTTTGATTTCATAATCAGTGACTTGTATCTGTCTTATTTATGTAACAAATGCAATACATTAATGTTACTGTTGTTGTTGTTCGTCTCTAAGTGATGTGATGTTCTTTTGGAAAACGAGGAATGATTCGGGAGAAAATAGTTGACATTTTTTTTAGGTCATCTGACAGTGTAATTGAAAATTGAGGGTTTCAGAAGAGAATGAGAATCTGCAAAAGTTGTGCATCAAAATTCTTTGGTACTTGCTCTACATAAAGTTGTGCTGGCATCCTCGTTTATGTATAGGAATCTGAGTGGTTATAAATGGTGTCCTGTAATGAGTAGAAATGATGTTTAAGGACCTCTGCAGACCTTAGTGGTTAGAGGAGGAAGAGGTTGTACGTTTAGTTTGTTTAAATCTTTTTCTCAGTGTCCTGACAGAATTGAGGCCAAATGTGTGAGCTTTCCATGTTCTTTGCTCCTTGTTGTTTCCCTTGGAAGAGGAGGTAATTTGCTCCGTAATTCATTAATGTTGATCTTCTTTAAAATAAACACTAACACAAGAGAAACTGAATTTTAGAAGTCGTGTTCCTGATAGAGTTGAAATTGTGTGTGTGAGCAGGGTACACAGGAGGTCTGTAACCACATATTGCTGATTTCTTCAATAAATGCCAGTTTGGTTCGCATCAGATCTGCGATCCAAAATAAGCAAACCAATGACTACCTTAAATTCAGCATGACTTAGCTATAAAAGGTGAATCAAGCTTCTAAAAAATAGTATTTGCAGAGCTCCAAGCTGTGAGTCTAGGATTGATTTCATGTTACGTAGACCTAAGCTGCAATCAGTTGTACTTAAAGGCAGTAAAGGCAGAACAGAAATCAAAGCGGTCCCAGCGCTACTATAGGTAGCCAAAGCCAGCTGGAGCAAAATGCAGTATTCCACGTGGAGCTTCTGACCCTGCCCAGTCCGATTTACATCTACAGAGAGGGAATATCTCCCAAAGGGTGTGCTTCCTGATTCACCTACCAGGCAGTTCCTTGTTGAAAACAAATGGCTTATTGTTACTCCGGTCATATAATATGTGAATTTAAAAGTACTATTTAATTCCATTAACCTTTTTCTCTTAAAAAGGTCTCCGGACTCTTAACGGCTAACAAAAGGTTTCCTCCTGCCAGTGACTTGCAACTCTTTTCTAATTTTATATTCCCATACCAGAATTGCAAATGAAGTTACAAAGAAGGCTAACTACCCTATCTCCAATTACTTGTTCAGCATTAATGGTAAGAAATTGGCTAGGTTTGGAAGAGTTTATTTTCAGGATCTAATCCAGAAATCTGCTATAATGTTTCAAAATTTAATAGTATGGAAACTGGCAGCTGTGTTTTCGGATTTGTCTACTGTTCAGCCACACCTACCTAAAATAATAATTAAAAAAAAGACACTTTGCTTCCCATACTGAAAACACTGTTAGGCTGGAGCTTTAGGCAGTTAAAAAAACAAAACAAAACTGTAGATCCTTTAAAATCTTTAATCCTTTTAACTTTTGTGACTTGTGTTCTTTCGGTCACCTTGTATCTTCTGTGGAGTTCTGTGATGATCTAGTAGGGACACAGCTCCTCCTGTCATTGTTTCGTTCTCCTTGATTAAATTAGAAACATGTTTCTCCTGGGCCTTGCTCTTTCTAAGCAGTAATCCTTTCCGTCCCTGCCTGTGCTTCTAAAGGTTGCAGGTGTCTCCTTCCCCTCTGCCTGGCGGGTCAAGTCTGTGATGATGCTTGCCTTTTACTCGTTACTCGGGGCAGACAGCCTTTGACCTCTCTTCAGCCAGGTGTGTTGAAATATCTGCAATATTGGCTGTTCGTCAAATTTAACTCGGTTGTCGTCTGTGAGCTGATCTTTATTTCCACCTAGACAGTCAACCTCCAAGTATAGCATCACGAAGGAGTGCTAGAAACTGTGGGATAAGCTTCTGAGTGTGGTGAGCAGGCTGGCTGTAAACTCTGTATCCAAGGAGAAACAAAAAGCAACAAGGTGAACTTCTGAAAAATTAGGTTTTAATGCATCTGGGCATGGTATGTAGGGTGGCCTTTGGGTCTTTGGTAGCAGCTGTTTGACTTCACAGATCTGCTGTTGTTACACCAACCTACTTGCTAATGTAGACAAAGCATTACTTTAATGAGGTATGGATCTCTGCGCTGACATCACCAGCCTGCTATTAGTATATATGTGTAGTAGTATGAATATTGTTTTGATATCCATTTTATATTTGTGTGGACACACTCTTAGATACCAGAGTCCTAACCATCTCTAGCTCTATCCTGTTCAGAGTCACATACAGTTTATCATCTGGAGTGAGCATATGATGTATTTGTTTCCATTAATATCCAGGTTGGAAGGGAAATGAACTAATTTTTGGGTTTGGAACAAAAAAAGGAATGCTGTTCCAGATGCCTGGAGCTCCCACCCTTGCTACTGCTGTGACTTTCTTGTTTGGAGACAGATTTCCTAAAGCTGCTTTATGAGAACACCACTTTATTTGGGTATCTGTGTTAAAAAAGAAACATCTTGTTCTCTTCCTACTGTCATTGTTGAAGTTCTGCACGAACAGGTCATCTTAAATACTGCGCAGTGCATCATTTGAAATGTTCAGCATGTGATTTTTGGCTGTCAGGTCTGTTATGCAAATCACAGCTTGATTGTCTTCAAGGCTGAGCAACACTGAAATTTCTTGGTTTTGGAAAACTGAATTTCCTGTTGTGTCCGTCTGGCACATACGGCTGAGAATTCACTAGCATCACCAGAGCAATGGAGCCAGCCAAGAACAAACGTTTGGCACGTTTTATGCTAGAGAAGCCTCATTTCAAAGTCAAAACATGCATACGCGCATACTCCAAATGAAGTGGTAAATGCTTAAAAGCTGGACCAGAATAAAAAAACATGCCTGTATTGCTGTTGTCCCTTCTTCAGTAAAGGTTGCGTCAGCCATGTTTTTCCCAAGGCACAGTTTGTACGTTGGAAATTTTCTTTCCAGTGAAATGACTGAATAATAAGTGAGTCTTCCATTTTTCAAAGGAGCTGAAGTGCAGGAGGCCCATTATGTTCTTCATCTTAATTGAAATCTGTCATGGCTGCTTTTGTCCATTTTCTGAGTACTTGTGAGAGACCTCTCAGTTTCTTCTAAGCTTTTGACTGATCTGTCACTTTCTTTTCTCGTGGGTTGAGCTCCTAACCCTGTCAGTATTTCTTTGTGGTGTTTTCACACAGATCTGTGAAGAACAACTTGGGCAACAACTGGATGCCCAAGATTAAGGAGAGAGGTTCACTTAGTCAGGGTGGACAGAAATTAAGTCTTTCTAATACAGCTTTTCAAAATAGGCCACATTAAAATTGCTTTGGCTTCTTACGGTATCAGTTCTTACTGATGTGCATCTTCTCTGCAGGCAGGCTTTTAGCTCTCATGCTTTAAGGCAAGTGGTAAGTAGCAAGCATGGAGAAGTTTTGGGAGGTTCATGGCTACTTCACTACTAAGAAAGTGTCTAAAATGTCTCTGTTTATGCAAAAGGAAAAAAAAAAACTCTTTTCCGAAGAGAAATCCTGGTAGCATGTAGCCTGCTCTGTGTTATATGGATGCCTAATATCGTAGACCATAAAAGTAAGCATAAGTAATTTAGGCTTATTACAGAGTTTATTACTGAAGGTGAGAGCAGTATTTCTGGTAAAAGTTGTCTTTTTTAACAGGATCATAGACTAACTCTCCACAGGCAAATATAGCTGCCAAACTTCTATGAAAGAACCTTAGACCTTTCATATTTATGTCATGATCACATATCTTATTTGCAAAAGTTTTTGTCTTGAATTTTAAAGATGATACAGAGTTGAGAATGTTTGTTGGAACATTTTTAATTAACAATTTTTTGAAAGAGTTTCAAACATCAAGATAAACATACAAAGAAAGTGCCAGATAAAATAAAAATGAAATACTGAACAGAATTAGTCATACTTTAAGCTTGTGCTGCTTGATTCTAAAAGCTTTTCTTTTAGTGCAAGTCCCATTGGACTCGTCAGAATAATTTCTGTGTTTGAACTGGATTTCCTGTTTGTTCACATACTAAGTTACATTTTAAGAAATTTTTTCCTGGCTGTAACATACAGTGGTAACAATATAGAGAAAAATGAAGATGTTAACCTAATTTTACTTTTCTAATTGGAAAGAAAATGTCTATCACACGCGACTTGAAGAGGTAGAGCAGAGAGTAGCTTATTACCAGTTTGCATTATACACACAAAATCCCCAATATTCTTGTCTGAGGGGAAAAAAACAAAATCTAATTTTAAAAACATGCGTGCCTCTGTGGTCTTAATCAGAACAGTGAGAGACTTACGGCCATTAAAAAGATGTAGTAGGTACCTTTCATGGGCAATTTTCCTTTTATGAACTGTAACAATAAGACCTGAAGACTTATTTTTGTTAATGCATTTAATTACACACATTATCTATAAACAAAACAAAGACATACTAGTTGCCAGGGCAAGCTGATTCATCCAATAATAATAAAATGTATAAACTGCAGTTTGGTGGAATGGATGGATGAAGGGTGTTGCCATTCTGCTAGGGAGACTGTCATTCAGAATGGACTGGGAAGTGAAGCTTAGATAACTTGGCCTAATTATTTTGCACATGCAGTCTCATTTGATCAGTAGTTGATCTTCATTAATTAAGTAAAATAGACACCCCAAGCTGGTGTGTTTCATTGCTGTTTCTGAGCATGGATGTTATAAGGATTTAATCTTTAGTAATTTGATTTTTCTAGGCCAAATCCTTGTTTGGTGACCAGAGCTGCCTATCTTGATGTCCTTGTGATGCTGAGTACTCACCTGGGGAAGTTTCAAAAGCAAGGTAAGTCAAATATACTGCTCTAGAAATCGGATTAAATATCTGTGGGGAAATTTCTGAGCTCTGTTGAATCTGGAAAAACAATAATATATTACTTGTACTCATGGTACTTACTGAATGCTGGAGTCCTTTAGCTGCTTTGTATAAAAGGGCCCTTTATTCTGCCTTCTGTAGAGCTGGTCCTGGGGATTGTTGATGAGAAGAATGAGGTATGGCTCCCTGTCAAAGCTTGAAGCAATGATCTTGCAGTATTCCTAATGCTAGAACTGTGCAACAACAAAAGAGATCCCCTTCAGTGTTCCAAAATATTTTTCTGATCCAAGGTTGTAAATACAAACAAAATCCAAACCCCAGAATATTGCTACTTTAACCTTTCCTGAGCGCCACAGACCTGTTCCTTCATGAGACACCTGAAAGTGTTTCAGAGAAACTGTGTTTTCTCATGTTTAGAAGTTTTATAAGAAACAACGCTGAGAGCTTCTTTACATTTCTTTTTTTATATTGATTCTTTATCACTGTGAAGTTTTTGAAGGGCCACTCAGAACTATCAGTGGTTTTAATGATGCAGAGTGTTATCTGCAACAATACAAACCACACTGTAAACAATAAGGAAAGCAAAGGTATGGAGGAAGGGGGATACCCTTTCAAGTGTGACTGCGTGTAGACAACTTTTGGTCAGCGGTAACTAGCTTCCTTGTGGGCCTGTTGTGTTCATTTCTTATGAACAAGTGAGTAATAAATTACCTTGTCAGTCCAGGAAGGCAGTTAAAGAATAGTTCTTTCATTTCATTAAAATTCTTAATGACTAATTTTAACACTGCATTTAAGTCATTGGAACCGTTCTTTATTTCAGATAGTCTTGTTTTGGGGGTTACCCTTCATTTTAAAACGAATTCCTTTTGCTTTTTTGATTAGACCTTTGGTAAAGGTAGTTTCATTTTAATTCCATAATTGCTATTTATGTGATTTCTTGTGAGGGCATAGTTCAAATCGCTGCTCAGTTTTAGGTAGTACTGGCAATGCCACGCACCCAGGAAGAGCCACAGTTATCAAGAAAGTGAGTTGGTGATGAACGTTTCTGAAATGAGCTTCTTCAGATAGGTTGATGCAGAATCTAGCCCTTATAACAGAAGCATAGACATACAGAAAATATGTGACAGGTGGGTTCCACTATACCAGAGGAAGACGGTTACAGTGATCGGGGACTCTTGGAGATGGATCAGATCTTTCATGTCCTCTGAAGAGTCATCCTCTCTCGTGGGTCCTAGATGTCAAGATGTACTGTTCAGTAATGGAAATTTCCAGATGATGTTGCACTGTAATAAGTCTCGTTCTGTCAGGTACTGACCACTGTTTGTGACTACTTAAGGGCTGCATGCTTTATAGGGAGGGGTGAACCACCCTATGTAAAGCAGTTTCAATATAGCATGCTTGTAGGGCTAAGTTTTTTCCTGACTCCTTAATGTTTGTTTTGGGTAGGCTGTATCTACCATCAATAATTCTTATGTTACAATATATACATTTACTTATTTTTGTTATTTATACAAAATAAAGTTTCTTAAGTCCTGATATGCCATTGGCCTTGGTGGTTATCCTGTGCAATACATTAAAAATCTATCTGTGTGTTACATCTACAAAATAAACAAAAACCCCCCCACACTCCGCACGCACCCCCGCCCAAAAAAAAAAAAAACCAAAACCAAAACCCTTAACCATATTCGGACTCATCGCTCTTCTTTTTCATTTGAGTACTCCTTTTTTAAAGATAGATCCTCTTTGGAATATTAATTTTTACAGTTTTTAAAATCATGGTCCTCTACCTCTGTTCATCTGCTTTGTGGTACGTATCATCCCAGTGTTTCTGTACTCTCTTCATAGGAAGTTTTTTTCCTCTGCTTCTGATTATTCTTGTCACTCACCCTTCAACTCTATTTTTGTATTTTCTTTTATGAAGGAGTGAGTGGCCAGTATTCCAGGTGAGGGCTCCTAATTTGCTTACTTAGTGGGCATGGGCATTACATTTCCTTTATAAGCCTCTTTCCTATTTCAGTTATCTTCGGGTTTTTTGTCTCTTTTGGTTTTTAAACAATTGCTGCATATTTACAAAGGCTTTTATTGACCTCTCCACACCAGGAAACTCCCCTCTTCTTTTTTTTTTTTTTTTTTTTTTTTTTTTTTTCCCCCCCCTTTAAAATTCCCTTTTGTCCGGGGGGGCGC